TGCAGGTGGAGAAACAAATTGCCATCGATGTTATTCGTGAAAAACAATTGATGAAATTGTGAAAAATAAATTATAGAACATGGACTATACATATAACTTTTTTAGAACTGGCGACGATGTATTGACTTATGGTTATAATATATACCGAAGCTTTAACATCTTACGATTGATTGTGTTTTATTTTTTAGACAAAAAAAAAGTCACTAATCTTGTTTAATATAGGCGACATATTCCCGAGACAGTTTCTAACCTAACTCATCAGTTAATACCAAGGCACCGCAGGTCTGGAACCATTTGAAAAATTAATTGATTTGAACGTGGCCACTTTCTTGGATGAGAAGCAGATTCCATATAAAACTCCATACATTCTACAGGTTAGGCACTCGGTTGTAATTCAACTCCGCACCGAGCCAAAACACTACCCGAGAGTTGTTTTCACGACAGGTCTACGATCCGAAACGACCCAAGTCTTTCTCGGCCAACGTCTGTCACCTCAGGCCATTGTGTAAAAGCAATAGGGCTGCTACAACAACAGCAACAACTACCCGAGAGTTGGGAATAAACCACGTCCAGCACGATGACCCCGAAGGACCAACACCAACTTACCAGGCTAGATTCGTGGAACTACGAGGCTCTTGACGAATCGAAAACTTTCGATTAAGTTCGTAGCCTAAACTGTTCTCAGGAGATCTCCAAACAATTCGTTTGATCTCCAAACAATTCGCAACTGGTCACATACGACTATAATCTCTGTCCAGCTTCATAGTTACTACCACTAAAACTAATAGTTGATTTCATGGAAAGGGGATAAAAAGCCTGCTAATTCGGTAATGGTCGCCCAGAGACAATAATTTTCTAGTTTTCGCAGCCGAAGCTACAAATAGTTGCAGGCTCTCCACAATGAAGTAACCATTAAAGGTAGATGAGAAATAGAGGCGAAAAAACAACAATACGCCACCTAATGATCGTACCAAAACCCAACATAATTCGGGAATGGTAACCGTACTACTTCGAACCGAGGTCTGGAGCTAATAATACCAATGGCGTGCCCTCTCACAATGGCGTGCCCTCCCACAAAGACTTAACAAAGTACACAACAAAAGGCCAGAATGTTCTCACGAACATTCCACCATAAATATGTCTTCCCAGAAAGCTCACGCACAACCACACAGGACAGTGACCATAACCGTTTTAGGAGCGAGACACGACGCTAGAATACACTCTCCTAAAAATGTCTACTAACAAATCCTTCTTCATTTGAATGATCGATTAAAGCCTCAACTTTACTTTCGCCGTCAGTGTGATCCATCGCATTCAAAAGATTTATTAACTAGATCAACTTTAGCCAATCCGACAACATGACCCAGACAACGTAATCACAATTCACGTATAATTTTAACGTTATCAATGCCGGCGAAAAGCTGTGATTCATGCGACATCGTCAACACTTCTTTGGTCTGATAGATTAACGGCAGAAATAATCTCTATTTTCGCAATTGCCACGCGTCTGAGCTGTACAAGAAGTGTCAGCATTTTATAGAGAATGAACTTTGTCTGGCTAGACATGATTTTGTTTTTCAACAACTTTTACTCAGTCCAAAGTAGCATCTATTGACCAATATTTTTTTTAGGTTTGTTTACTATTTTGTTTTGAATGCGATTCCGGGTTGTCTCATCGCATTATTTCGCAAAGTTGTAGTGCATATGCATGTGCTTACGATTACTTTTCGAAGGTCAAACACTCTCCGGTTGTGTTCGAAACATTGGATAATCTTCAAATATGAAAAGGCTGAAGTTTCGAAGTTTTGAATATAAGCATGTATTTGTGATCCAGATAAGGCTGGATTTGAAGAATTTCTTACAAGCTAAAATTCTTAATTTTAGTTCGGCCCGCCCGATCTCAACGACTTTTCCATTTAATGTCGTCAAAGAAAAAGTCGTTATGTTCGGATGAGTTAAACTTCTTATAAATCGATCGAACCTTTATATGGATGTTACGTCATGCGGCTAAGAACTTCAGCATTCCGAAAATATAGCGCATATATAAAACCATTCCAACTATCTAGCTGGAATGTCAAATTAGTACCACTTCGGGTTAAAATGCAACGTTAACCATTGAAAAATGAATCTATATTGAAAATAGTTTGCAGATTAGTTTTTAGCCCCATAGAAGCATGGATGCTAAATGAATGCTTACTTAACATTTCAAAAGTAGGTCGGGGCCTTTATATTGCCAAGTATAAATGTCAAATATTGACCCTTCAGTTAAAAAATGGGCCTGATACCTTCAAAATAGACTCCAACATAAAGTTGATAGAATAAATAAAAGCGTTGTGAAAATCGTATAAGAAGTTCACGAAAATGGTTTCCGACCCTATAAAGTATATATATCGTTGATCAGCGTAAAATCCTCCATATCCGTCTGTCTGTCTTTTGTAATCACTCTATCCTCTAATCGAATAGAGGTAGGTCGTCAAAATTTTGCATAGAGTCGTCTTTTGTCTGCAGGCAGTCCACGTTTAGGCATATCTCCCATATTGGTTTCCTATTGGGTATCCAATTTCTCCACTAAAAATTATAAATATATGTCCATATTCTGTACTCGAAGGTATAAAATTATAAGACGATTTAGCCATCTCTTGTAATCAGTCTACCTTCAGAAGATATCGAGATAAAAAACTAGAATTCAGCGTGTAGGAAGGTAATGTGATAGTTTTTGGTTCGAAATTGAGCTATATCAGTCCTCAATTAAGCATAAAACCTCATATAATGATAACTCCAACTGTTCGGTAATTCCTGCACGATGTAATCAATATTGATCCCGCTTTAAGTACAGCCTCCATAAACCTACACATACAAATTTTGCCCTCATATAACTTTTTCCTCTAAATTGCTGTATTTTGGGGATTTTATACACATGTTCCACCCTACAATCTGTCGTCAAAATCGGTCCACATTTTGGGATTTTGCGATTTTAAGAAAAATCTCTATTAAACTTGCTGAAATTTGTATTCGGTGTACATTATAATTAACAACAACAATTGTTGGTATAGGTATACTTTTCATTTCAAGTAAATATCAGTATACCTTTGGTGGAGGTCATCCAATGTTCGACCCAGCCGAGCTCAACGCCTTTTTCACTTTTAATATGTTTTTATTTTCAAATTTTAATTTATTTCACCACGCGTTTCTATGAACGGTTTGACCGTCTGCATGGAGATGTTGCCTATAGACACAATCTTCGGATATACTGTAGGTTTAGTAAAAATATTACGATGTGTAGGATCAAATATATACCCCATTCGCATCGTATCAAATTTAAATGTTTGTCCCTTCAGAAATAGAGGATTTATAGGTACCATCTTCAGGCTTGATCTAAGTTTGGTAATAATACAGTATGCAAAGTTTGGATAAAATCAGTAATTATATTACGAACCTGACAGCAAGGCGAACAGACGGGCAAATGGGATTTGAAACCAATATTTTGATTAGGTATACTTTTTCCCGCAGGAATATCTAATTAGCCCTAAGACTGAGGGTATAATAACATGTTGCATTGTATTCATATACAAATTGTCTACCGAAGAAATGTTGTCTTGATAAAATTTGGCACGTTTCTCTTTAACAAAAATATCTGTAATTTTACATTTGGGATTGTTGTCAGAAAATATCCCTACCAAAAGTTATCAATATCTGCCCCAATTCGGGGCATAATATATTTATGAAATATGGATCTATATTTGTAATATGGATCGCAAACCAAGCTCCTATATTTTGGTATTACGATGTGTAATTTAGTATTCATGGATTTTTGTGAGTAAATAAATTACGCACAGAACATGTTCAATATTAATGATTTTACCTATTCCGCATGCAAGGGTTATGTGCCATTTCCGGTATGTTCATTGTCCTAGCCCAATGTACCATGACATAATCACCATATAAAAGTTAAGATCGATTTTAGGTATTTTGAATGTCCACATCATGGCGGAGTATATTAAAAGTTTAGCACAGTCAAAGTTATGGGCTTTTTTCTGATAAAATGCAGACATGGATGGTCTAACAATCAAACAAGCTAAATCTTAGCCGAACTACCAACCAAATCGCTTTTGTCTGCGAAAGTTAATAATTCGTCAAAATTTTTTTTATGTATGTACTTAAATAACGAAAGCTGTGTTCAATTGTATTTAACTATTTTTTTGTTTTACATTAGTTTTACTCACGCAAATTTATATTCCTTGACCTTAACCTTGCACTTAAATTATAGTATATTTACCCCTAGTAGAAAAACTATTGAGAATTTTGGAGTTTGGAAAATGTGTATCTTTATTATGAAATTATTGTGAATTCCCATGACATTTACATTTCCCAATACTACAAGTATTGGTAACTACAAATTAAAACATCCCATCCCTGCCTACCAATAAGAACCTTTATTCCAATGCGACCAAGAAAAACCACAAAACAAATTCCCTTTGAGATTGTTTAAGCATTTATCAATTTTTAATAAAAGAATTTGTTTAAAAACTCACTCACTCACACCCACAAAATAAACAAGAACAACAACAACAAAACTATTCATTAGTTAATATTTTTAAACAATAAAGAGAGTGATGGTTTGCCGTCAAGAGACTCAAACTAAGAGCATTCCAGTAATGCTTTCTCTATAGAATTGTGTTTCAACGCCAAACGGTAATTCTGGCCGACAGACTAACTAACAATCAGTCCGCCAACAAGTAAATAAATAAAAACTAAACTTGATTCTTTCGAATGCCTTCAGTTGAGTTCGAATTCTTGTAGCGTTCGGTTGTCGCAGGCGGAAAATTGAAAACAAAACAGAATAGAACACAAATCTCTGAAGAGATATTTAACCCAATTTTCGTTGTATTTAACTGAAATAAATAAAAAACTAAAAACAAATATTTGTCAACTTAAGACAAATTTTGAAAAACCAACATTAAAAAAAGTATTGAAAGTTAATTAACTATATCAACAACAAAAATGAGCTGTGATCAATATTTAACATTTAATAATGGCATTAAAATGCCGGCTTTGGGCTACGGCACTTGGCAAGTAAGTATTACTTTTATTTTGATATTTATATAAATAAGTGTGTTTGTCTGGGCTCAGATTTATCTCAAATAAAGTTAATGACGAATTACGAAAGAGGGAACAATGAGATTTTTGTGCTGAGTATTTTATGTGTCAATTATTATATTACAGCCAATTATTTGGAATCTTTGAATTTTCAAGCTATTTTCTTCATAGAAATTTGAATTGTCAATTTACATTATGAACATTTTTGGGATGGAAAATTTCTTATGGGGACGGAGGACCTTGGCGAGTATATTAAGAACCCAGAAAGACAAATTCGTCACAGAACAAGTTATTTATTTTGAAAATGGTTTAAGTCCATTTTTGGTTCTTATACAAATATTGGTTTTCTAGAAAAGTTTACAAAACTTTGTTTAAGGGCACAACGTCACAAGCAAATTTAATACCGCTTGACAATATTTTTGAAACAATCCATCCAAACCATTAAATATCTCAATATAATAAAAAATGGACTTAAACCATTTTCAAAACAAACGATTCAGTTTCTGAGCTTTACATCTTTGTTTATAGCTATTACAGGTTAGTTTTGAATAAGGAATATTTCCAGCTCCATATATTCTACAAAAATGTTGCTCATAAAATTTTTCTAAAGAAAACAAAATCCTTTTTCCACTTTTACCTTATTCTAACTAAAAATGTGACGAACGCCTTCAGAAATTTCCAAAATCATGTATCAGACATGAAAAATGTAAATAATTTGGGAGATTTAGGGCTTCTCTTCCCGCACTAGAATTTTTCAAGCTTTACATTTCGATAAAAAAATAAAACAAGTAAAAACGTCGTTAATATGACCGCGTCGAACTTTTTTTAACCTCCACCATTAGATGGACATTTAAAATGCCTGTAACTTAAAATGCCTGGGAACTTTATAGATGGCGATATATGCCATTCGATCGAAAAAACTCTCATAATCCAAAAATAATAGGCGGTACCATTAAACAATAAAAATCTTAGAAGTAATGACAATGTATGTCAAAAATTTCAAAGCCCTATCTTAAACGCACAGACAGACGAACAGGATAAAAGACATAGAATTTTTCTCTAATCAAGGATGTTAATATACTCATTATGTGACCTCCGGTGAATATTTAGACGTGTTACAAACGGAATGATGAATTTAATATTGGGAAAATAAAATTTAGGGGGCAGATCAAGATCAACAGGGAGAGCTTTATTGTACAAGTTTAGGTATAGTCCCCATACAACCATATATTTCTTCATATATTCCTTTTGCAGCACATCAAAATATGCACCGTATTTCTCATTTTTTTCTTTGTTACTTCTCTTGGGAGCGAAGAGTTTTCTTAAACCATCGCCATACAATGATCTTGTGTTAGTTAATCATTGTTTTTATTCCAGTTAAGTAGATTACTAATCTGATGTAGCCTGTCCTAGGTGATGGGTCTGTCATCTATTGTTGCCTGAAACAATGCTTCCATGGATTTGTTGGGCAGTGGATAAAGTTCCCGCGTACTTAGTTTTTTTAATTTTCACCTGTCATTCCTACTATGTGTTATCCTCATCTGTTACAGTTGATGCCAAAGTTGGATATTAGACTGTCAGGGGGCTTTGGATGCATTTTATCTCAAAAAGGATGTAATCTCATTTTTACAAACATTCTAACATCTCTTTGAATGACTTTCTTCTCCACCGGGACGCGAAACCGAGGTGGTATAGCTTCCATATATCGTCACACCTAATTTTCGTCAATTTAAAGATTTCCGACAATCAATAGGACTAACTGGAATTCAGGAGTTCCCTTTTTTATTAAATAATTATAAATATTATTTAGGTATAAGCCGATGAAGATCCGATAAAAATGTACCCCCAATTTTAGATTTTTTCAGAAGTTTTAAACAATTTTCCATAAATAATTTAGCAAATTAATATTTTTTGTATATTCCATATATAACCTTCCCTCCCGTATTACATAATATCGGAAGCGACATAAGAAAATCGAAATATATAACTACAGACACTCAATATTGGGATACGACCCTAAACACACCGAAAATGTAAATACATACAATGGAATTGACAATTTATACCCACTGCTCTGCGAATAACTTGTTCACCCACCAAGTTCCCACTTTGCTAATATAGTCAGCTCGATTGAAAACGAGCTTAGGATCATCAAAATACCTATAAAGGATTTGGAACATTTTTGGTAGGTCTGTATGGCACCCAATTCGAACCCTAAATATCCAATTCGAGTTAACGCGTTCAAATGTAAGGGGACTACCCGATTCTGGGACCAAACCCGATACATTTTGGTAGGGAGATTTTCCACCCAATGATAATCCAAAATGCTTGAAAAACAACATGTCCAACCTCCATAAAATATCGCAATTTGGAAGATACTAATAAAGATGGACCATTATTAATTTTTGATCGGAAAATGGGAACCAAAAAATACCAAATTATTTGGCAATTCGGTTGAAAAACGTGCCCTAAATTCCACAAAATACCGAATATTGGGACTACCGGTATGTGGGTGGAAATGTATATTTTATTTTCAATACAACACATCCTTGGAGTGGTAGCAATGTGGGTGCCACAGAAGGACATGACTTCCCATATAATTTTACACCCTCCACCATACCACTTTCAGACCCAGCTTGATCAATTGTGGAATCTGACAATTTTTTAAAAGAAGTTAGTATAAACATATGAATATGGGCTTGTTAATTACTTAATTTTTACTTAAAATAAAAATGAACTGAGAACAAACTAACATATGGCTCATGATTCAATTTTTCTACAAATGCATCAGCAAAAGTACTAATGGCTTCGGCTCTGAAAGTGATAAGGTGGCTAATTTGAAATTCTCTGAATTTTTGAAATATAGAAAAGAGTTTGCCACGCTCATAAATGGTGTTGGGTGTTCTAGCTATAAATCCACATAGAAAACATGTGTTTCAAGCAGCATACCTACACAATTCTTAACTACATACAAACGTATTAGTTTTTGTAATCACTTTTCCAAACAGTTATTTTTTTTATTTATGTGAAGTTTTTCCCCCGAAGATTTATGTTCAAACATAATAACAATAATACAAGTGTATTGTTCTCGTCGATCTTATCAATAAAGTGTGAATGACCATGACACTTTCTACATTCAAACTCCATTAATGGGATGTGGGCATTGATGCAACAGCATCCATAACCCTTCTACTCTTAATGGAGAAATTACCTGTTGGAAACATTCAAACACCGGCTATGAAGTTTAATAACCGGTTTTTTGATGCAAAGATGCTGTTGATCTAATAAATTGGGTCAAACAGACAGCAGAGAAGTGGGTGCACGATTAAAACACAAACACACCTGCATTATGTGATATCTGAGATTTTCAATTCTTACAATAACAAAACCGGTTTAAGAGAATGCTTCTAAATAACGAGATTGAATTACAATTGGAAATCGTGACGTGTTTAAGTTGCAGAGATGGGATGTCGGATGTTGTAAATAAATAACTAAAACGAATTAATGAAGGGGGAGAAAGGGATGCCACATAAATATATTTAGTTCGGTGGAATTTTTTAAGAAAAAAAAAATAATTTTAAAAAATCCACGTATTGATAATTACTTGATAGTTACAAAAAATTTACAAAAAATATTTTAAATAAATCCAAGCCTTAATATGTTAGGTTTTGAATCGTTTTATTGACTGACAAAACTATTTACAATACATATTTAATTCTAAGAAAAATTTCACAATATTATTTCAAAGCCTACTTAGGTCAAACACACAAAATATATAAAACATACATGTTGGAGTAGATTGCCAACAAGTTATTTAATACTCCTTCTCAACATGGATGTTCCATTACAATTAACATTAACTATTTTTAACATTTTCCATTTAAATTAACAAATTTAGAATTGCTTGATTGTACACTTCGGCGGAAGTTCGACCTCGCTTCTTCAACGGTCTGTGGTATGCTTTCGACTGTCATACGATTTAACATATTGTATACCTTTTTGGGTCTTCCAGGCATTCCTGTTCGCATTATCCTCGGTCTTCCAGGTCGCTTTCCTGATACCACTTCTTGGTTGTCGGAACTTGAATTTTCAGTTGCTTTACCAAAATGTTCGTCGTTACTCCCGTATTCTAAAATAGTCTGCGACTGCCGATCAACGTTTTCCGGTTGACTTCCATCGCTATTTAGATTTTGATCAGGTTGATTTTCTTGCAAATAAAATTTAAACAGCATTTCCTTTTCGTCTACTTGAAATATCTCCTCGTCGAAAATAACATATCTTCTTTCAATTACATTTCTTTGTTTTGCATCATATAGTCTAGAGGCTTTTGAGAATAACCCACCATAATGTATTCTTCTCCCGTCTTTTCGAACTATTGCTTATGGGTTTTATTCAGAGCTACACAATAAGAACCAAATGTTCGAAAATGACTTACATTACACTTCTTTCCATGCCATACTACATAAGACGTCTTATCTTTCAGATTCTTTGTGGGGCATCTGTTTCGCAAATAAGCTGCAGTCATTATTGCTTCTGCCCATAAATTGTCACCCACACCTGTATGCAACATCATAGTCCTCGCCATTTCTACTAGAGTTCTATTTACACGTTCTGCCACTCCTTTCTGCTGAGGACTGTAAGGAACGGTTAGCTATCTTTGAATACCATTGTTCCTTAGATACTCGTTAAACTCCTTATTGACATATTCATCACCGTTCTCACTCCGAAGTAACTTGATTTTCTTACCGGTTTGTCTCTCAGCTTACATTTGAAATTCTTTAAATTTTCCAAAAACTTCATCCTTCGACTTCAAAAAATATATGAAAATTCTCCCATATTTATCATCAATGAAAGTTAGGAATTTTTTAAACCTCCAAGTGATGGACATCCGATCCGACCAAAACATCACTGTGTATGACTTCTAGAATTTCCTTTGCCGAACTCGTACTTACTTTTGGGAATGGGAGGACGATTTTCATCCATTTCACCATTTCTTTGGAACCAAGCTCATTCAAACTTTTGTGATTTAAATGACCGTACCGATTATGCCAAAGATTTTCTGTCATAATAAATATTCTTTCTTGGTGATTTCAAGGTGTATTTAATAAGGTGTATGCATCAGATACAACAACAAATATTTTACAAAAACAACATTGTTGTTATAGAAATTAAATTGTCATGCTGACAATAAGTTTTTGACAAAAATAAACAAATACAATTATGAATTTATTTTTGTCAAGAACTATTATTTGAAGAATAATTAATGAATTTGTGTATTTTTGGGGTTTTTGGCGGTTTTAGGTCAGTGAAAAATAAAGTCGCGATTAATTTTAAGTTTCCCACATGTAGCGCATGGCTCCTTGTGATGTTGTGGATTACAATCTATTTTTTTCTATGGGATGGCTTCAAATCTTGCCTTCTTAAAGAAAGATTAAATCATTGACATTGTGTTGACCGTATGAAATCCTTTCATATGCGTATTTAACCTCCGCCGAGAATTGTGACAAGCACCAAGGGGCCGATTCCAATATAGACTAACATAATCTCCTTGATTTTATGAGTAGCTGGGATTTCTGGACAGATTACCACACATAACATAAAATATGTGGACCAATCGGCGAACGGGGTTACAACTGAGCCTAGGTTTTCTTTCCGTCCGCCTCTTTGAATGTAGTTTTCTTGAATTTTTATTATTAAAAAAGCCTAAATTTAAAGACCATTTTTGGAATCGAAATGTTGAATGAAGATGTTTTTGACAATTTACTTTACAATCAACAAAGAAAAAAGTTTGAAACCATATGATTGTCACTTACACCTTATTAAATACACCTTGGGTGATTTTCTAGAACAAACATGACATCGATTTTTTGGAGCCTTCAATAAATTGTCATTGGATTTTGTTTTAATGACAGAACATTCTTGGTAAATATGGCTTTTAATCCGTGGTTCACAGGCTTACTGATAGAAATAAAAGTTGCCTGCAGTTCCGGTGAATTCAGCACATTTTTCAATTTGAACTCACTCTCTATTGTTTTGATTAAAACGTCACCTCTTCCAATAGCTCTCAAGAAAATTATCACCAGCCAATATTATTCTCTCTTGGTGTTCCTCAAAAGTGGTGCAATTGCACATGTGTGCAGTTGCACCACTATCTAAATACCACAATGACGTAAGCTACATTTACGCGATTGAAAGCATTTTGAAGTCTTATCAAAATTTTTAAAATTTATTTTGAAGTCATATTTACACGTTTCAAAAATTTGATCAAAATATTCAATATTTCAAAATATTTTGAAGCTAATTTACACTATTGGTAATTTTTTATATTGAAAATATTGACTTTGAACAGCTGTTTTGATATTTTTGAGAAATTGTTTAGTATTAATAACTATGGACGACGACATGGTCATCAGCATTTTTTAATATTGGAGGAAGAATTAGCTGAATGAAATGAAATTAAGAAAAAAAGAAAACAAAAGCAACATTGGGTTCGGCCTTTTCTTTTGGAAGGTGATGGTGTGTATGTTTCTTTTATGGAGCGATTAAAACGGAATGATCCCGAACTATTCAAAAACTTTGCAAGAATGTCACCAGACGATTTTGATTTTTTGCTTGAACTAGTCACCCCATTAACAGAAAAGGCCAATACTAATATTAGGGAATCTATATGCCCCGGAGAACGCCTGACAATAACATTGAGATTTTTAGCGGCTGGAGACAGCTATGCAAGTCTGACGTTCTCGCAACAAAAATGTGTAAATAAAAACATATGATATGTATTGATCAAAAGAATGAAAATGCCGTCAAAATATTTCTAGTCATCAATATTGCCAGATGCGATTTTGATGCCTATTTACACGGCATCAATAAAATCTTCAAAAGTTTTGTTCAATAAATTTTGATCAATACTTTTTTAAGAAATTTAGCTGTTTACTCGAGTTTGAAGCATTTTGAAGAAATCTTCAATCGTGTAAATGAAGCTTTATTCAGTTATCCAGCTTCAGCAACTGCTAACAGCATAAATGATTCATTTTTATTCCTCTTTTGATTATTTTCGCATTTGTTAGAACACTTCCCAAATTGTCCACAAGAGAAGCATTTCCCTTTGAATAGTTTCTTACTGCATCCCTTACCTTTGAATTTATTTCTCGATGTGTTTCCCTCAGTTTTTTTTTCGGTTGTTCATGCAATTCTTCATCTTCAACGTGGCATTTTCTCTCGGCTTCCTCCATCACTCTCTGCTTTAACGATAAAAAACTTGGCAATTTGTTTCTCGATTCCATTGCCACAAAGAAATTATCATATTGTCTTGGAAGGCTTGTCAGTCCACCCCTTGTAAAGGTCCGCCCCTTTTATAAACAAATTAAAGTTCCTGCTCAAACCCCGGGTACCTTATATCCCTTAGAAAATATACTCACTATAAAAAAAACAATTGTATATTGTAATTATATACAAAATACCTATGACTGTATATATATATATATATGTACGTAGGGCATGTGTTGCACGACAAATAGTATATAGTATGCCAGAAACCAACAACGTGCTGGTTTGACCTTCCACAATTTAAAATGGCTCATAGGAAGAGACAATGCCCAACCAAAACCTGGATAAATAATTGAGACTTCGTGACAAATGTGGTCGTCACCAGTAGTTGTAGTGAATAGTTAATTTATTTATATTTACAAAAAAAAATAGTTATTTGCTTTGAAATTTAATACTTGCACTAATGTAATCTGTTACATAGATATATACTATGTATATACAAATGGTTGGTTGTTTGTAATGAATATTTAATATGAGTGTAGAAAAAATTAATTAGTAAATATTCCTAATTATATCTATTTCTTGCTAATTATCCCATAGGTCAGTGAGAGATGTAGATACGATTTGTAACATCTGTGTGGAAAGTTTATTGAATTGCTTAGTGATTTGAAATTATTAACATTGAAAATTTAATGCAGAGGGAGATTTAAAACAAGTTTTGCGGTGCCCGAGGTGGGAGACTTTATTTGTTCCAATATCAAAATTTTTTAAAAATATTTTTCAAAGACTATCAAAGCTTGGATTTATTAAAAAATATTTTTTCCAAAGACTATGTTTTATAAAACAGGCTTTGAGGACATTTTTAGGACCAGAAGTTTTCCATCCGTGATGGCGCCCAACGTTGGATACATTTTTTTCATCGGCAATTTATAATGTTTTTCATCCCTTTCAGGCCCCCGACGCTGAGGTTGAAACTGCCTTACATCTTGCCCTGGAGGCTGGCTATCGTCATATCGATACAGCCCCGGTATATATGAATGAAAAGGCTATTGGAAGAGTTCTGAAAGAATGGCTAGACTCGGGACGTATTAAACGCGAGGATTTGTTTATTACCACAAAATTGCCACCACCAGGTAAGGGGAAGGGAAATCTCATGGATTCTAAGGGTAGTTAAAAATTATGAAAATTTATTTACAGCCAATGTTCCGGATTATGTTGAGCCCACTTTGCGTAACTCCTTGGCCGATTTACAATTGGACTATATCGATTTATATTTGATTCACACACCATTTGGAATTGTGTTGGAAAACAACGATTTCAAGCGTGATGAAAATGGTCATGTTGTTGTAGACCCTACCACCGATCATGTTGCTGTTTGGAAGGTGAGGACGAGGAGGGAGAGGCTGGATTTTTATTAAAAATTAAATATTACTGTGTTTTTATTTTTATTAGAAAATGGAACGCCTTTTGGATTTGGGCTTGGCAAAGTCAATTGGCATTTCCAATTTCAATCAAAAGCAAATTCAACGGGTCTTGGATAACTGCACAGTTCGGCCAGCTAATTTGCAGGTATATCGGTATAAATTACGTTCCTTAAATTGCAATATTAATTGGTCTCCTTCTTCTAGATCGAACACCATGTCTATTTGCAACAGCCGGATTTAATTGAATACTGCAAAAATGAAGGTATTGTCGTTACCGCTTATTCGCCACTCGGTTCGAAGGGTATTGCCAATCTAAATAAAATGGCTGGCATTGAGCGAGAACTACCCGACTTAATGGATATCCCTGTGGTCAAGGAGATTGCTGAGGCCCATGGCAAAACCCCTGCCCAAGTTCTACTACGTTGGATATTGGATTGCGGCATAGCCGCCATACCAAAAAGTACCAATGCCAAGCGTCTGAAAGAGAACTTGGACATTTTCGATTTTAATCTCACCGATGAGGAAATTGAGAAAATGAAGGCATTGGATGCCAATGTTCGAATTTGTGATTTTAAATTTTTCCCAGGGTAAGATTTAATTGGATTTTTAAGAGCAATTTTTGAAATTACTGAATTTATTTTCTTTCTCTTTCTTTTGCAGTGTTGAGAAACATCCTGAATTCCCATTTTAAGCAATCTCAAGAATTGGAAACTTTTTCTTATTTTTAATTTTAATAATAAGCATCAAATTGTAAGCTATTAGTAGCCGAGCCACGCCTTTTTGCTTTTTATTGCAAAATTTGAAATGTTATAGAGTATTTTTTTAGATTTTAATTTATAATTTGCTACGAATAAAATGTTTAAAAAAAATTATTTGATTTTTTGTATTGTATATGGTATTAAGGGTTTTTAAAGAACTTCTTGGAGTTTCCGGTCTTCATTATGAAGATCTCCTTGCTTTCTATGGGAAACCCCTTCGAACTTCTCTACGAAACACTTTGTTTATGACCTTTATAATCTCTGACCTTCTAACAGGACGATCAGACCTTCTATATATTATCTGCTCTTCTAGACAAAGACCCTTGAACGCTCTATAAGAAAACCTCTTAGGCCTTCTATACAAGGACCCTTTGGCCTTCTATAGTAAAACTCTGGCTTTCTATAAGAAAACCTTCCGGTTTTTTATAAGTATACCTTTTTATATACCTTGAAGATCCTCTTTATTTATGTACTTCAATAGGAAAACATTATGTTCATATATAGGAAGACCTTCTGAATTCTTAAAGAAATATCACTAACTTACTTTAGACTTCTAATTTAAGAATCTCTAACCAACTATAGGAAGAATTTCTGGCCTTCGATAGGAAGACTTTCGGCATATTTTCCGAATATTACTAATATTCAGTACAACTCTTCTATTGGCTTGTCCAGATTCCCTTCACCGTGGATTGTGTTGTTTTTGGCTTATAATTGTGGTCCACTTCATTCCAAAATTATTATGTGATCATTATCGAAACCTATAGGCGTTGTACTAGACCATAACTTGAACCTCACGGAAAATTTCAAAGCGATCAGCGCTATATTTCCGCCCTCTAGTGTGGTAATGGGTTACTAAATAATATCTGAATACGTAAACACCTGTAAATATGTAAGAGTAACTTGCACATCCAAAGGCCAACCACTCCTCTTGGATATACTACCAACTTCTCGGGTCTTTGTCCTTCAGGAGAATAAAAAATTTGTAATTTTTCACACTAACGTCAGGGTCCATTTGATCCGCTAAATATAGACCGATCTTTATCAAAACAGCTATGCTTATTATTTGACCCAACCCCTTTCACCATGTAAAATTTCGCGATGTTCGGGCCATAATTGCGGCCTGTGGAGCGACCAGAAAAACCGACAAAAATTATGTATTTGGTCCATTTCAACCCCTAAATATTAACCGATCTATACCAAAAATAATACAGGTCTTCATTGGCCAGAACCCAAAAAAAAAAACCAAGGCCTTGATGGTTCTTAAAATGTGGTTTTTAAAAATCTACGCCTTCATATTTAAAAAAAAACAGTAAGGAAAGTTCAAAAGCGGACGGGGCAGACTATATAATACCCTTCACCACTTAGGGTACATACAAGAGACGATAATGTGTACAATATCCTGTTGATAGAAGAGACAAAGCATATTTGGAATCAACCTATATTTGACTCTTTGGTGTTCCCTTTACATAAAATCGGACTATATATATATATATATGGGAGCTATACCTAAATCTGAACCGATTTCAACAAATACATCAATATCCATACATCAATATGAACATAATTCTGTACTCTGTGTAAAATTTTGTCTCAATCGGACCAATATTGACAGTATGGTCCTCCATTTACATAAAATCGGACGAAACTATACATGGGAGCTATATCTAAATCTGAATCAGTAGGCTATACAAAATTTTGTGCCAATCGACCTAAATTTGACTCTTTAATGCTCTATTTACATAAAATCGGACGAAGCTATATATGGGAGCTATATATAAATCTGAACCGATTTTATCCAATTTCAATAGGATTCGTCCTTGGGCCAATTAAGTGACATGTGTCAAATTTCATCCTCATGTTCACAAAAATACATGGACAGGACATGCATGGACATGGACATGCATACGGTTAAGACAACCCCAAACACTTCAACAGCTTCTTCTGGCAGCGAACCATGATTTTTTCTTGATGTGCGGGAATAAATACAGTCGGAATCGCTTACCGGCGAAAATGCGATATCAAATAAGGGCCAAAGCTTTTTTAGGGACGTGACGTATGTAGAAGTCATGGGTTGTCAAGTCAGGGATGTACGTCGGATAATATGTACATTCCACTATTTGACCGGTCAAAAAGTCACTGCCAATGTGCACTAGTTCACATTGTCATGGAGAGTTTATCCGAAGACTTTAGTTTACTATAAAATAAGATCTTCTGCATGAAGACACTTTGAACAAGACAAGACTATTTAATATGAAGATGCACTAGTCTTTTCGATTTCTGCCCTATTATTTGAAGATCTGGTGGCTTTCCATAGGGAGACATTTTGTAAGAAGACACTCAAGGTATCTGCATGAAGACGGACTGTCTCTTATACCAAGACGCTTTAAACGTCTATACGAAGTTTCTTCAGCCTTCCATAATAATACTCTCTGGCCTTCTATTAAAGAATCCTCTGCCCTTACGTCTTTCTGTAGGGATATATTCGGTCCTTCATAAAAAACCCCTCTTTCTGCCCTTGTATAGGAAAGAATGAACTTATGACCTTCTTTGGGAAGGTCTTCTGGTCTTATATATAAAGATCTTCTAGCCTTCTATAAGAAAATTAATAATAAATGGATTTTTCGAAGTCACTATAAACAACACAACACATGATCGTTCGTCAATCCGTACTGAGCAGATTTACGCTTAAAAGTGCCAAACTTTCCGATGGAAATGTCAAATGACCAGAAATGCATATAGTAACCCTTGTAGAAGGCGTCCTTTCGTTTTACTATAAAATAAGATCGTCTTGAACCCGAAGAAATTTGTGTCCTTTTTAGTAAGCCCTCAATAAAATGTCCGTTTTCTTTATAAGAATACATTTCCATTTTCTATAAAACACATTTTTTTATAAAAAACTTTATTAAAAAACTGTACAAAAAAATATTGCAAAAAAAATCACATCAAATTATTGAAAAAACTCTTCGTATTCGTAAAATAAATTTCAAATTGTTGGTATAATTGTTGTTGTAACAATTTTCAATTCAATCGATCTTCTTGGTAGTTCTGCAGCAGGTGCTTCAATTGTTTCAGCTAGGTTTGCATTGACAGGTTTCAAAATCTCTTGTTGAGTTAAAGGTGAGGGTGTAGCTGGAGTTGAGATATCAATTGTAGGTACTTGATTAGTTTGGTCGGGTTTCACCGCAAGAGGAACAGTTTCAGTTTCTTTGTTAAGTTTCGCTATCACAATATCATTGTGACTAGTTTCGAGTTTTTCATTCGTTGTTTCTTTCGTATTTTTATCGGTGTTATTATCAGTCTCTTTAGGAACTATGGTGTTTGGTACATCAGACACCTCTTTAGTGTTGAGTACTGCTTCTTCTGTATCTTGGCTAGAGGACTTAGTTGTCGCTTTGTCGGGTAAAATTGTAGTGGATTCTTTTGCAGGTTCCTTTTTATTCTCGCTTTGTTTTTCCAGGTTCTTCGTTTGATTTTCATTTTGGATATTCACAATGGCATCGACTACATCCACTTGGCTATTAATCGGGAAGAAAACAAGTAAGTAGAATAAGTATAAAAATTAGAGATTTTTTAAAAATGGACTTAAAAATAATTTTCAGACTTAACAGCAGATTTTGATTTGGAATTAATAAGCAGCATTGTTTATATATAGCATCCCTTCTTCGACACATCCTTCTACAATAAAAAGTAACTACTATAAACTGGACAGACAGCCAGACGTACGAACGCACACCAAACTTGCCTCTAGTAACCAAATTAAAAATGAAAGTTCAGCCTGGAGATTAAAACTAACGTTTTTCAATTCTCAGCATAATGGCTAATGAGATTATACACACATTGATACGGCAAAACTGTGGCTCATCGAAATATTTGTTTTTAGGCCCCATCCGTTTCAGACAATTTTGAGTTGGCCACACCAGCTAGCACCATAACTCTCGAAGAAAGAAACCAATTTCATCAAAAATTTGCACATCATAATAAATGGTCAAAATTGTGCTTTTAGGTTCATAATTTAATGAAATCGGAGGAAATCCTATCACTTTCTGTGTTTCAGTACAGAAAGTTCTGTGTCCTTGACATGTCTAATAAATAGGATAATTAACCTAGTCGAGAAACATACAGTCCATTACTTAAACTCAATCCATGGCATGATGATAGAGGATTTCAATGTACATCATGAGTTATGACATTTCTTCTAGGTGATGACCAGAACGGTGCAGCACTGTCCAAGTTTTGCATGGTGAATGCGGATGCCTCCACGAGAGTTAGAGGAGATTGCCATAGTAAAGCACACAACACCATCGTGACACCTGTCGTAATCTGGCAACCCGTCATTTCCCTCGGTACAGACCATGATGCAATCTCATGGTTGGCAACATTGCTTGTCGTATTCAAGCAGAAACTATGCACTTTGACAGTTAATCGTATAGTCAGTTCATCGATCCCTATCATCGTCTCCGTAAGTAGTCCACCCGATTTCATAACTCCAGAGAGCTTTAGAGATTTGATAGGTGGCCTTTAAAGGCATCTATCGTCGATAGGTGGCCTTTAAAGGCATCTATCGTCGATAGGTGGCCTTTAAAGGCATCTATCGTCGATAGGTGGCCTTTAAAGGCATCTATCGTCGATAGGTGGCCTTTAAAGGCATCTATCGTCGATAGGTGGCCTTTAAAGGCATCTATCGTCGATAGGTGGCCTTTAAAGGCATCTATCGTCGATAGGAGGCCTTTAAAGGCATCTTTAAAGGCATCTATCGTCGATAGGAGGCCTTTAAAGGCATCTATCGTCGATAGGAGGCCTTTAAAGGCATCTATCGTCGATAGGAGGCCTTTAAAGGCATCTATCGTCGATAGGAGGCCTTTAAAGGCATCTATCGTCGATAGGTGGCCTTTAAAGGCATCTATCGTCGATAGGTGGCCTTTAAAGGCATCTATCGTCGATAGGTGGCCTTT